CGTTGAGAACATATAAAAGAAATGCATTAATAGTAAAAATAAAAGCTAAAATTTTATATTGAGACTCTCCGTTATATAATATCATCGGCGCAGCACTTAACTAGAAACTTTTTTTTCAAGCTGTCACGTATCCAATTTTTGTTCTCAGCGTCCCAATTGAGAGTTAATATCCTATTACCATACGGAAACTCGTAAAACGTGAATCAGTATATGTATATTCCTGAATTATGTATTCTTATTTGATAAACGACCTGGCGTTTAATTATCACGTAGAAAGCAAGCTTTTAAGCCGAATTGTTGAACGTTTTTTTTTTTCTTTAGAGCGTCAAAAGATCACGCTCGACTTACAGAGTATTAAATCTATATTATTTTCTTCAATCCTCTTTTAATTTTCCCAAAGTGAGTGCACAACGGGAATTATCATGGCCTACGAAAATTTGCATAATTATTGCCCAGCACGGGCATAGAAACTGTGTGTGAAGCGCGATATCACGTTATCCCATTTTCACCGTCCCGAAATTCTCTAATTCACGTGATAAGCCAAAACATATGAAGGCATTATTACTCGTACACGCGTAAAACACAAGGCTAAGGACGCAGTTGGAATCAGGTTTAAACCTCAAACACGGATTCGCGCGCGAATATAACTAGTGTTCAGTAAATCTCTTCCTTTTTCTTTCCCCTACACATCTTTTTACTAGTCAATCATTCATTCATTTTCTCTCAACCTCTCTCTCCCTTTCTCTCTTTCTCACTCTCATTTTCTTTCTTGCACTATCTTCTCCCTCTTTCTTTTTCTACAATCTCATACATAATAATGCGACAACAAAGAAAGCATATATGCGTTAATTGTGATTCAGATATAAATATTTCAATTATCTTTCACTATTCGCCATTGCACTTATCTCAGTCCAAGACGTGACCGAAAAACAATGCATAAGTTTCTTTCTTTTCTGATCAAATGAATGTATCGGTTAGTCCGATTTATACTACATATAATATTCTACATTCCTCTGATCGGCCACGTCAAGGATGTGATGCAAGTCCCGCATCTGGGAGTAATATTTAAAATAAACTTACTAGATGTTGACAAAACGCTTTCTTGTCAAAGACACAAACTTAAAATGAGCAGGGTTCACTCGTCGTGTTATTAATACTCGATTTACATTTTAATTCCAACTTTTCGCAACTAAGAGCAAAATCTGTGTGAATGCAAAAAGTTTGTGTGTGCGTGTGCGGTAAAGCAGAGACCCATAGCTATCTTCTTCTTTGTTTAACACGGCTCTTACTTTTGCGATCTTACAGTACATAACATCGTATTGACGGAGACACTTGACCTCGTTTTTCTTAACTTAGACCATTCTGCTAATTCGAGTCCGATCGCACCGCAGCCGGAGAAAGATAGCCATAGGCGATTAGAGGGCTAATTTAGGTAAAGATTAGATATAGCAGCCCCTGCAAAAATTGATATTCACTAAATTTTTCGTGGTAACACGAGTGCAAGGTATATCGATAAAATCGACTAATACGCGCAATTGTGCTTTAAGGATCATATTACGTGAGATTATCGATAAATTCCAATTCTGTAAAATACGATTCACAAATATTGCATGTTATCCCTCTTTCCCGTGACAACACACAAATATTGAATGGACGTAAATAAATATGTATGTGGTAAATCATACGGTAAATTACCGTCGTAATAAGAGCAACTAATGTAATAAAATCATGGTGTCCAGCGAAATTTGGTTAATCACTTCAAGAATAATTATACCAGGATATACCAAATAAAAATCCTGGTTTTTCCAGAATTTATCCGTCAATTAATTTTCATTATTTAATTAATTTTTATCGATGTGTGCAATATTATACGCTTTATTCAAATTAAAATTCTATATATAATGAATGATAAAATGCTAACAAATTTGAAGCAATGTTGTTTATTGCTTTATAAATAATATCAAACGATTTAGAAAATAATTTAAGTTTTAATAAATATTAAAATGAATCTATCTTCAATTGTGATTCCATGTTAATTTGTTATTACACAAAATACAAGAATGAGTATAATTAATTTGCATTATCAGAAAATTTATGAAATCCGATTTGGATTCTTAAATTACATTAACAATTAAATATAAGTTTAGACATTTTTTAAAGAAAGAGTCCTTTATTTGTTCTATTTTAGACATCTCATTACTGCATATATGTAATCGTGCCAGTTTTATTTTAAAATTGTCATTGCGATTAGATACAGTCAATTATCGTATACTGATGAGAATTCTAATTGAGAGATGAAACGTTAATCTGTACTGCATTGCTTTGTACGTTTTATTTTAAATATTAAATCAAAATTTTCTATTGGTGACTTGCATCTTTAATCCTTCATGGTCACACTTCAAAAAAGTTACACGATGATTATTCTGGATTAAAATGACCCGAACCATTTTTGAAGTGTTACCAAATTAATAGAATTAGATCCTTAAAAAAATTACGGTATATAATTTTATCCTTTAAAAAAAAATCGAACAATGGCGTTGCATTAAAAATATAATTTTAATATTAAAAAGAAGTAAACATGTTAACTTCGGAAATTTACGTTATGCTCAGATCATTTTGACCCACAGTAATTATAAAGGATCAAAGAAGAACTTATACTCGAACATAATTTTTCTTTTTTTTTCGCGATCTAATTTTTTTTTTAGAATAAAAGAATGATAAATTTCAGGCTAGCCTGAAATTTTACGAATTTTCCAGTGTAGATAAAATTCCAATGTAATTCTAGGACCAAGGATATTTAAGAATCGCTGGACACCATGTAAAATACATAATAAAATCAAGTTGACCTTACACTTTACGACATTGACATATGCGTGAATATTTTTTTTGTATTAGTTGCTCATTAAATTGATCTATGATGTTACAAAACAAAAGTTAAAGAATGTAGGTCAATTAAGTATCGGGAATGCACTAGTACAATAAATTAAATATTATGCTAAGATCGACACAAAGACACTTTTATTACATACTTTCGCTTCATGCAGAACGATACTTTCGTAGTAACGTCTTTTTTTTTAGTGCGTCAAAATCTTTGCTATATGCATGACAATAATAGATTCAATGAAACGTTCTAATCCGTAAGAAATTTGTAATTTATGCATTTTAAGCAATTTGGAAAGCATGCAGGAATTGTTGGATTCATCTTTTTTCTTATTTAATTTTGCTTACTGAATCATGTCTGCAAATTTCTCTTTGTTTTTATATAAAAATCATTTCTTTACTAAAATAAATTATTATTAAAGTTACATGACTTTTATTTGCACTATAGGGTAGTCTATTTAATCAATACAGTCAATTTTTCGAAATAATTAATACGAAAAATATTTTAAATAAAAGTGGAATTGTTTCGAGGAAAACATATTTTGGCCATGTTGTTTTTTCTTCTAGGTGGAAGCTAAAAAGATACAAAGATCACCTCCATTTTATAAATAGAATTATATGATTTTTTAACATAGTGTTAATTCTTCTAATCATTCTGTATATAAAAAGTATTAGAGTTATAAAAAAAAACTTATATGAGAGATATATTTTATACTTTATTGTGGCACATATTGACATAAAGTGTTAAGACTTCAATTAAACAATTTTTTGATAATCTTACCTTTATGTACTTTTATAGACAGAATAATGAGATAAATCAATTGGAGTGAAGAAAAAATATATAGTTGTTTCAAAAAAATATGTAGATAAAATGGATGCTTTTTAAAATAAGCAACTATGAGTTTTCTTTGCATCAATCTATCTTGTAAACTAATGATTTTTTTATCTCTACTTTAATACTTTTAGATGTAGAATAATATGAGAAATCACATTATATAGAAAAATCATATAATTTCATTTAAAAAAAGTGAACTTTATACCTTTATGGCGCCTCCTAAGAGTAAATATGATCAATACTTTAAATGTTAATAATAAATGTAAGATTAATTAACGAACAACTGAGAGCTAGAGATAAACGCAGTTATTCATGCGTATAATTAACAGATGTATTTTATCAAAAAAGATCTTACTTTCGCAAGATCTTAAATTCGCAAGAAATTTTGCAAAAATAAAAATCGGACATTTCAGCCATTCGAGCCATCATCAGCGATATCAAACAATGGATACAGGCATTATTCACATCAGTAAGATCCAAGTGAGCAATCAGAAAAGCTTCTTCAATTCAATATTTTGAGAAGCATTACTGCTAATTAACTGTTTGGTTAATTGTACCACAATTGCAAACTCTAATCATACATAACGCAAAGAAAATTATTTTTGAGGATGAAACAAATGAACTTGTTGAGAGAACTAGATCGTGATGAATACAATATTGGAATGATCCTAACTCTCAATTACCCGTTAATTAATTTTACTTTTATTATTATTATTTAATATCTCAAGAGCTCAATTTATTATTTAATTTATATTATTGATCAATATTTTCATCTAAAATATTTTTTTCGTATCAATTATTTCAAAGAAAGTTGACTATATTGATTAAAATAGACTATCCTATATAGTGTAAATAAAAGTTACTTAATTTGTCTTAGTAAATAAATTTATCTTAGTAAATAAATAATGTTACAAAAACAAAAAGAAATTCATAAATGATTCAACGAAATGATAAAATAAATCGTTGCTTTCTCCTGTTCAAAATGTGAAAAAAAAATATTTTCCGAATATTAAGACAATTTTAACTACGATTTTTGAATTTAGTAAGTAAAATTGAATAAGAAAAAATAAACCCAATGATCTCTGCGTGCTTCTCAAATCGGCTAAAAAGCATGCAAATTTTTTATGAAATTCTTTAAAAATATTTCAGCTAAAATCCATGCAAATTGTTCATGAATTCTTCGAAAGTATTTTTCTGTTGCTAATTGATGGAAAATTATACATACGTCGTTGCAAAAATTACAACAGTTCTTGTCGGTTTTAAAATCTCCTATACGACGTTATACCGAGGAACGGAAAGGGGAATCGGGAGGTCTGAGGCTGCGAGGTTTGCTGCGTATGAATCGATGTATATGGCGATTGCTGGAGAAGAGGGGAGCTCTGTTGATTTTGCAATGATGACAGAGACTGCCCGGAAGAGTGAGAATGTAAATTTTGTTGATGATGCGGATACGATAGCGTATGATGACAGGAAGAGGATTGCGAGTTCGCCGGCGGGACATTTAGATTATTTGCGACGCTGATGTTACCGGGAATGTTGAGACTGTTAGGATTGTTGGGAATTGTCAGGCTCTTCGGGATACTGAGCGCGTTCGGGAGATTCATATTTGTTTGCAAGCTAGGCGGTAGAGAGAGAGTAGCTGACGTAAGATAATGTACGTTGAAAGATGGACGGGGGGGCTAGTAAAGCCTCATACCTTCTTCGAATTTGACGATGAGAGGATCGACGGCGGGACTGCCAATAAAACTACCAGCTTCGCTGTTTCCTCTTCCTTGGTCCGATTCAGTAGTACTGCTGCCGTCATACTTTGGGTCATCTGTTTGAAATAAAAGGAAGTATATAAACACATATTTTCGATATGCATATTACCATATACGATATCTATTTTCTTATTATCATATTTATCTTATTTTATTTTACTTTATATTTTTCATTAATTCTAAATAGTGTAAATAGACTGAATATATATATATTTTTTGAACATGGCCGGAGACACTACCGCGTCTCCTGATATATATATATAGTAAGTTCGTATAAGAGACATTCTACGTCAATAATTTGAAATTTTTTTTGTGAAGTTATTCACGCTGCAAAAATTCATTTAAAAATAACATTGCTCATGCATTGTTTCTATATTAAGGAAATATCTATGTCAGGTGACAACTTTACGAGTTGCAAAAATGTTTTTAATTTTTTTTTTTCCGATTTTAATATATAGTCCAAGTGCAGCATCTTCCAATTTTTTGCGTCTACCTTAATCCTATAAATGGATTTCTGATTCTCTGTTCAGTAAAGAACATAATCTAAAAGACCATTTTTTGCCTACTAATATAAAAGTGCAAAACATAATAAATTGTTACCAATTTAATATTAATTAACCTTCAAATATACTAGTGCGAATTCGCACCATGAAAATTTTTAACTTGGCAGTTGTCTAAAAGGTAATTTATTTATAACGAATTTTTCAATGCAAAATAATTTTTTTCATTAAATTTGTGTGATACTATTGGATTTGTAACAAAATTTTACCATAGAAAAATCATAGTGATTTTAAAGAAACTTTTATTTCAATATCCTCAGGAAAAATTTGCAATTAAAAATGTCAAATTCCAATTCACATCTGTGTTCCATCAGTGATCAAGGGATGTGTACTTGAAGGTAAATTTTTATTAACATAATAAATATTGATTATTATTAACACATAATAAAAGAAATATATACCTTGACGATTCAACCACTCTTGATTCGGAGATTTTGTTGCTACTTCTGTAGTCTTCACGGGATTGATAGGGTCATTAGAAATAGTACGAGGACTTGTATGCATAAATGGACAATGTGGTTTTCTACATCCTCCAGGTTGTGTTTCCCAGTAACAAGGAATTAATTTACGATTTTTCTGCAAATAAAAATAATTCAAATTTAATTCTTCTTCTAATTAAAATAATTTCATAATGTTAACTAAAAATGCGATCCATTAAATACTCCATTGATTAATTAAAATGCTTCAATGGATTTACAGCAGGATCGCGACCTAAATATCATTTCGGCACATATTATTTTGTTTTAATCTTTACATAATTAGAAACTGTTTGTGTATTTATTAATGTATTCAAATTAATAAAACAACTACCAAATACAAAAATTTTAAAACATAAAAAAGTAATTATGTGTTTATAGAACTCCACAAGTTTATAATGTATAATATAGTATAATACACTCTTTATTTATATATATATATCTATATATAATTATGCAAGTATTTAAAAAATAAAAAATTATATATGAGAGCAATTCCTTCTTATACTACATAAAAAGATAGATAAATTTATTTCTTTTTTCACGATGATATAATCAAAAGTGTTACACACACAACAACAGCAGCAAAATACTATTTTTGATGTATTGACTTGAAACATATAATTTAAATGAGGACATGCAAATCAATAAGTACAGGTAGTTCTACAATACAACAAAGTTGTTGTATTATATAAATTAGTATCTATATTTTGTAAAAATTAATATAAACCAGCTAACAGTTTTTTGTTTAGAAAATATATAGATCAGTACGAATTGATAAATGCAAATGTGTTCGTGCGATATAATAACTTTGTCACACGAACATCCACTTTCGCTAATTTGTACCTATCCGTTAAATTTATTCCCAGGGGTCGGGAAATTTTTTTCTATAAATATTTCTATAAAAACATCCTGATAGTAAATATTTTAGGTTTTGCAAGCCAAGAAATAAAACTAAAGATATTTGCTGCATTCAGAAAGCTGTTCAGTGAGCGCTTAGTGACCCTTTTTACGACTAGTATTTGTATTTTTAGATCTAGCGAAGAACTAAATGCGAGAATCAATCATATTAAAGAATTGCTAAGTGCTCACTGAGTAGCTGTCTTCTGAACGCGCAACTGTTATAGGTATTTGTATAAAAAAAAATATCGAGTGATTAAAAATATAATAATTATATACACAATAAAAACGAGTGATAGGTTAGATTTTGCCGAAAATCACAGTTTACTGATTTCTAAAAAAAAATAATCCTAAACAATAGTTCTTAGTGAGAGTTCTGAGTGAGAGAGAGTTATTGATTCATATAGTCAGCAGTTCCCAATCTATACCAATTTTATCTTGGTTTAAAAGAAGTTATGTATTATCAATGTTTAGTCTAACTTATTGAGCGATTTCTATGTATAGTTATATAAGTTTAAGTTAGATGTACACATTAGGCTTAATCTTTTTAGCTGAACTTTATGCACGGTACATCTTTTTCTACTGTTTTCAGGGTTGCCACAAATTTTTCATCCTAAAATTTCCTGACATTTTCCTGATTTTACTGACAAAATTTTGTAATTTTCCCTGACTTTCAATAAAAAATATTTTGAAATATTTTTTGTATTTTCATCCTGATTTGAAAATTGTTAAATATTTTGTTGATCGAGTAATTTAACATAACAGTGTAATTAAATTAATGTTATAATATAATACTATTAATACTATTAATAAATAATACTATTAATGTTGCTGATACTACATTTTATCGTTAAGTTAATAGTACTTTTTGTCTTTTCCTTTCATGTATGAACATGATTCTTTTCCTCTTCCTTTCTTTCTTTTTACTACTATACTTAAAATATAAGGAACATAAATCAATGAATACAGTTTCTTTTTTATCAAAATTATGATCTGTTTATTAAAATCTCAATCTGCTTATAAAAGTTAACATATTTGAAAGAAAAATTATAAAATTATAGAATAATATTTATTTTACTCACTTGTTCATAAGTGACAAAACTTTCTTATATAAAACAAAAGAACAGACAACTTTAAAATTTCGATGTCTTTAGTAAAGCATTTTAAATCTTTACAAGTTTATGTTAGCTTTTTAACATAACTAAAATTTTAAATCTTTAAAGTAAACTTAAATACTGCAACATAAAAAATTGTATAAGTTTTTTAATCGAATGTTAATGACATCAGTGATGTTATTTCTTCATCAAGAGCACTTAGTTCATTAGTTTTTTCTGCCAAAAGTTTTGCCTTCTTAATCTTCAATTTTGAAATTTTTGTAAACAAAGATCTTTTTTTAGCAACCGAGTTGGCTTGAAGAACAAAGCGAAATGATTTTATCGATTGTGATATAAATAAATTTCTTTACAGCTATGTTATTTTTCCCGAAAAGTGCACTGAAATCCCTGACTTTCCCTGATTTACTGACGCATTTTTCAAATGCCCTGACATTTCCCTGATTTCCCTGACTTGTGGCAACCCTGTGTTTTTCTCTGTATAGAAAAAAGGAAAAAAGATGAACCAGTGTCAAAAGTTCAACAAAAAGAACATATCTTTATCACATATCTCGTTAAGCATCATATGATTACTAAATATTGAGTTCTTATAGTTAAATTAGATATTATTAAAAACTTAAGATTAAGTAAGTTGAAATGTATTTGTATTTTGTTATAATTTGACAATAAGTCGTTATTTTCACTTATGATCCCCATTAATGCTTTTCTGATGAGTCTATTACTTTCATTTAAAAATTGATTAGAAAATGAAAGATAGTATGAGATATGAGGTAATATTAACCTATTTTGGAAATTAATATTTCAATAATCAATTTATATCATTGTATTAAAAATTGTCTGCAAACCATGAAAGTAACTCTTTTTGACAAAATAATGTATGTTTTAAAAATGATTGTGCGAAAGACTGCTACCAAACATTACACGATCTTATACAATAATGATATTTACCTTTAATTCCATGTGTCTGAAATTACAATGTTCATTAAAGCAACTTCCCTGTTGCCAGTATGTACACATAGTTTCACAACCCAGAGCCGATGGTTCATGTCTATATGGGCAAAAGTCACCCTATGAAAACAAAAGTGATGAAATGTAAATAATTCAATAACTCGTTCAAACGATTTATAAGAACAACACGCAACTTGCAGTGCCAAATTGATTGTCGATACTGCAGGCGTGATTTACATCAAATATCATCAAATATTTTAGAAATTTACTTCTATGACTTTTATAAAAATATATCATAGAACATTTTTAATTACTCCATCTTATCAAAATAAATATAAGCCACATGTAAATCAAAGCAAAAGATCTTAAAACTACAAAATAATAATACAATCATGCAATTCGACAGATCTTAAATATTTGTTTCACATTGTAATATGTTCAAAGTATTCAGATGATGAATGAAGTTACAACAAAAAATACCATGTCATATATAAATAATTAAATGGATGAGGAAACCCATCTGTAAATTTAACAGAAATTTTAATAAACGAATTGAACTTGGAACTTTTAGAGAAATCCTGGCAGAAAAACATGGCATCAAGATGGCCGACCTAACCTCGGCGAGAGACGCCGAATTTCGAGCAATATGGAACGATAACTTCGCGTATTTTCGAATGATCTTGAAACAATGTCGGACGCTATCGTTGGACGATATCGGCATAGAGAGAGGCCCCGCTTACCTTCTTACAGGTGGAGTAATAAAAGAAGTAACAATCCAAATTCTTATGGCTGCGATCCATTTGTAAGAACTTGTAGAACGATGAGTGATCGTGCTCCTTGCTGAAAGCAGAAATAAGAGATTTTTTCTAAACTCCGTGCTCACCCTGTCGATCGAGGGGCGAGTCGCCCGCGAGCAGGCGATCTTTTGCAAAATTTCGACTACGATTGAGAGGAGGAGGCGGTTTACCATTTTGTCCGGAACATGATTATGCGAAACGTGAAAAAACCAGCGCACGCTCGTGTGATAATCAAACGGACTTACAACGCGAGACGGTCAGTGCTACGGCCAACTGACGAAGCCGTTCAAATCAACGTCCTGACACGGGAGCAACAACAAATTCGTCCCCCCTTCGACTCACTCGCGTTTTTTCTGCACGTTTACCGTGCCATCATCGTGTATACTTACACACTTAGCCGCAATGACCTCCTTGATCTCCTCTTCTGTTTTCCCTTTTTTTTTCAACCGCCTTTACCGCGCACACGAAATCTGCTCGAATACGCGTTGCTCGATCCTTTCCTTGTCCTCAACGATGTCACGCTATCGGTTATCTCGTCGATATGCAGCAGTGCCTCGTCGACCCACGTCAATCCCGTATCGTTGCTTTGCAATGAATGCAGCGATGCTATGCTCCGCGACAGTGTTGCCAATAAAGCGGGGAGCACAGACTTTTGCATAACGCATAAAGCATGTGCATAAGGAATTTCATTGGCCCATTTTCTTATGCATGAGTCAATGGACCAATCAAATTCTTTATGTATATGGTTTATGCGTTATGCAAAAGTCTGTGCTCCCCGCTTAACGTGGCATCGCGGAGGCACACTGTAGCAGGGTCAAAGTTTATGTGGTGAGGGCACTGCAGCCAGTGTCTCCAAAGCGCCGTTATGGTGGCTTGTTCAAAGATGCATTTAAGTGTACTTTGGACTTTTTTCCGCCGCGTTCCCAAAAATATTATTTATTTTTCTCCGAACACAATTTAAATTAATTGAATATAATTTAATGGTGCATAATCCAATATACTCTTAATCCATATGCACAACGATTAAAATATAAATTTAAGGAAATAGAATAAATGCAGATACACATGAATTTCTGAGAGGCGCTTGTTACGGCAACACAGGAAACATTGGGACATTTAACATGGTAACAGGCCTCTCAAGAGACGCGTTAGACACATGGCAACAGAGAGACTATATTTTAGATATTTACTGTTGCCATATATCTAAATAACGCGTTTCTGATGTACGAATCTACAAAACTTTTCACTGTTTTTTTGTAAACTAATTAATTTATGAGAAATATATATAGAATTTGAGGAAATTATGTGAATAAAAAATTATATCAATTGTACATTTAATATTTATTAATAATTAAATGTAAATTAATGATAAGAAAAATGTAATAAAATAAATATAAAAAACGTTCAACTGATGGTCGTTAGGAGTCAGCCAGATTACATATATATATGCGCAAAAAACTTAATAAAAATGAACACAATTTTAAAACTGTTCAGTTTTAATTATTATATAGTTTATTAAAAGTTTCTCTCGCGCAATATATAATCTCAATCTGCGGGACACCGAATCCAGTTGAATGTTTTTATATTCGTCATTGTATTAATTGAAGAGGCCTTTAATTTTATTTATTACTATTTACTTTATTGTTATTTAAAACAAATATAAATTCAAACTTTCTCATATTTATTTTATGTATGAACGCACACATACATATACTACGCGCGCTCACGCGTGTGTATAAATACTATATAAGTATATGTATGTGTGTATGTATATATATAGTAACATGTGTGCATAGGATATACCATTTAACTTTCACATCGACCCTCGACCCATACAGCATACAAATATATATTTATAAATATTTATAAGATTTAATATACTTTATTTAGTAAATATTTTTGTAATCTTACGTTACATAGATTATAAACATTATTTATTATAAATATTATAAAATATTCATTGTAAATGTTGTAGTAAATGAGCTATAAAATTATAAGACATAACTTCAGTTAAAAATACTTATCAGAAATATATGTATTTATATTTATCATAAATATTACATTAAATATTTAGTCTATATTTTAATAATATTTCAAAGCTTTATACACGTTTAAATATACGTATGCTATATTTATGTAACATTTTAAAGAATGAAAAATAAATATATTTATCGTAAATATATTTTGTGCTGTTTACGGAAATATTGCGAAAAATATAAGATACGAAAAAATTTATGAAATACTATAACGCCTTTGACAGGACACAAATAATAATGGAAAAACTAATTTTCAAAAAAATTGATTTTTCATGTATGTCATATGTACGCACAGAATAAATAAGATAAATCATATGTAAAAATGTAGTAATAAGATTAAAAGAGAAGGCTCGACAATAATAAATAAATATTAATATAATTTAACGGGCAACCAGCCGAAATAAAATATTACAATTAAGAAGAAAAACAAAGAAGATATATTTAACAAATATTAAAATCTTTATAGGACCGCGGTAAATGATAAACATAAGCAAGAAGAAGAGTACCTATATAACGGTCAAAGCTGGATCATAGTAGTGCTCATTATAATTATGTGATTTTATATACTGCATATGTAGTCCCCCCGAAATCGCGATATATTTAAATTAGTGACAAAAAACAGACGTTTCGACACTGATCGGGTCGAATAATAAGATGTATCATATGTAAAAAAATGCATGGTTATTTTTCAAAAAAATTGTGCAATTTGCAATATGTAACTATACATTCTTTTTTTGAAAAACATCTATATAAAGGTATATTACGAAAGGTTTCGTTTAAATTGGATTAATAAAATGAATTTTTTTTGCATTTTCTTAAAGTTTCAAGAATATTTAGTTTATAAGGGTGGCTGATTGTTTCATCTTTTGGTAAAGTTTACCTGTTAAGTAAATCTGGCAATCCACGCACGTGATTGAGAGCCGATTGTTCTATCTTTCGGTAAAGTTTACCTGTTAGGTAAATCTGGCAATCCGCGCACGTGATTGGGTAATCGTGCTATACTTACCTAACAGGTAAACTTTATCAAAAGATGGAACAATCGGCCCTGAGTAATTGTGCTATTTACCTATAAACAGGTAAACTTTTATCAAAAGATGGAACAATCGGCCCTTAAATATATATATATGAATTTATTATAGGGATCACCATGCAGATATAAGAAAATATAATTCCTAGCTTGACCTCATCTAGGCAACAAGTTTAGAAAAGGTACCCCTTTGTAAGCAGAGCTCAGTAGGGGGGACTTTCCATTGAAAGCAAATATGCGAAGTAGTCAGATGTTTTATTTCTGCTTTCGCAACTTTCACAAATGCCGAAGAAAACTGGACAACCTTGAACATGTTTTTCTCTAAACGACGTTTTTAAAATCGGGCACTGTATCTCGAGAAATAATTATCCAATTAAGTTCAAATTTATTGGGAACGTTGCGGTTTATTGTGTTAACCGTTAATTGGCAATTTTTTAAATTTTTAAATCAAGATTTAACCCGTAAAAAATGTTTATAACATGCTTTTGGGTTTTTTATTTCAGATAAAATAAGACAAAATATCGCATGCTCATCAATTTAAAGAAATTTTTCGGCGGCGGAGCATATTTCAGATTAACAATGTAATAAATAATTATAATTTTTAAGTAAAAAGAGTGTAAGTAAACACATTATGTATAATAAATAAGTATTGCAAATTTTAAAAAAATTAATAAAGAACTTTCAAGACGTATAATAATAACTTTTTAAATAACAAAAACTCCTGTACAATTCAAATATAAACTTGGAAAGGAAGGGCACTAGGAGTTAAGCGCAGATAACTTTACACAAACGCTGATATATATCAAGCAAAACTTATATATATTAATATGTTCCTGTAAGATGGAATTAATATCAGATTTTATTTCTTGATTGTGAGGGAGCTCACTGTGATTAAACATCACTTGATCTTTTTTATTATTTTTTATTTATAATTTATTTATGTAATTTGCATTGTCTCTGAAGAAGGCTAAAAAATGAGCCGAAATATGTAAGCATAATTATTATAATAAATAAGTTTTGCTTGATATATATCAGCGTTTGCATAAAGTTATCTATATATGCTTAACTCCTAGTGTCCTTTTCTTTCTAACAATAAGTTTATATTTAAAGAATTTTCGTCAAAAAAAATTTTTTAGAGGGTTTTCGCTTAAATTGGGTTGAAAAAATCGATTTTTTAAAACATTTTCTTAAAGTTTTATATTTCAAAAATATTTAGTTCTGTTTAAATATTATACGATATTCAAAACTGATAAAGTTACAAGATCTTATAACATAGTCATTGCGTAAAAATAATTCCCAGCTGTTTTGTAACTTTTAACTTAACCGAACAGGTACAAAGAATTTTAGAAAGGTATATCCCTTTGTGATCAAAGGTGAGCAGGGGAGGTTTTTCACTAAAGATACACGCAGTAGGCAGGTGTCTTTTCTTTGCTTTTAACGACTAGAAATGCCTGAGAAACTGGATAACCTTTCAATTCGTTTTTTTCTAAACAACAACATGAAGCTTTCAAAATCGATGAACACCGTATATCTCAAAAAATAATTATTCAATCGAGTTCAAATTTAAAAAGATTTGTTTTGTTAAACAGATTTCTATTGGGGGTAAATTTGCAAATTTGCTAACATTTATAAATTAAACATAAAACTTGAGACTAGATATAAGTAGTGTATAGATGAATATAACGATATAGGTAATAAAGTAGATGAGCAAATAGGAAATGTATGGATAGATGAATGACTTAAGAAAAATTGTAAATCAAGTCCTCTTCTTGTTTTGTAAATATGCTGAAGGGAGAATAAAGCTGCGTTCCGTTATTCACTGCAAGAACTGAAAATTTATAGTTCGCGTTACGTATATACTATAGATTTTCAGTACTTGCAGTGAATAACGGAACGCAGCCTAAGTATTCTATTCTATTTTATTTTAAATTAAACATTTTTTGGATGCGTCTAAAAATAAAAAAAGTTAAGCAACCATACTTTTTGTATTCGCTAAACTGCAACTTTTAGGATTTCATTTTTTAGCGAGGTTTATCCCGTAGAAAAAAATGTTTGTAACATGCTCTTAATTATTTGTTTCAGATAAAATAAGACAAAATATCATGTCCATCAATTAAAAAAATTGTCCAATAGCAAAGATTATTTTATATTAACAATGTAGTAAATAATTAATCCTTTTAATAAA